CTACACTGTTGGTGGGAATGCAGTTTGGTGCAGCCATTATGGAAAACAGCATGGAGATTCCTCAAAAAACTAAAAATAAACTTACCTAATGATCCAGCAGTCCCACTCCTGGGCATATATATGGGGAGAACTCTTAATTCGAAAAGATAACATGCATCCCAATGTTCATAGCAGCACTATATACAATAGCCAAGACATGGAAACAACCTAAGTGTCCATCCACAGATGACTGGATAAAGAAGTAGTGTATTTATACAACGGAATACTGCTCAGCTATAAAAAAGAATAAAATAATGCCATTTGCGGCAACATGGATGGACCTGGAGATCATCATTCGAAGTGAAGTAAACCAGAAAGAGAAAAAAATACCATATGATATCACTTATGTGTGGAATCTATAAAAAAAAGGATAGTAATGAACTCATCTATAGAACAGAAACAGATTCACAGACATAGTAAACAATCTTATGGTTACTGGGGAAAAGGGAGTGGGAAGGGATAAATTTGGGAGTTTGAGATTTGCAAATGTTAGCCACTATATATAAAAGTAGACTTAAGAAATTTCTTTATAGCACAGGGAGCTATATTCAGTATCTTGTAATAACCTTTAATGAAAAAGAATATGAAAATAAATATATGTATGTATATGCATGACTGGGACCTTGTGCTGTACACCAGAAATTGACACATTGTAACTGACTATACTTGAATAAAAATAAATAAAAAAATAAAACCTGGCATGATAAGAACTGGGTTTGGGGCACTCTAGATTTTTCCGAGTTCTTCTTGACTCAGTGCCTATGTCAGAATAATCACAGAAAAATATGGGCTCCTTGCACTTTCTATGGGCTGATTTTTCAGATGAATGAATTTGACTTTCTCCCAGTCCACATTTGGGGGGTGGGTGGTGTTGTAGATAAGAAAGGTCCACTTACCAGGAAATGTTTGTACACATGAACTCCCGTCTGTGCCGTTTCAGTGTTGCTACGTACAAGACAGCTGATAATTTAACCTTGAATATGTTTCAAGACTCTATGTCCGATTAACTCACAATCTTTTTTTCCTCCCGTTTTAGCAAATTGATGGAGAAGCATTTCTGCTTATGACCCAGACAGACATTGTGAAAATTATGAGCATTAAGTTGGGCCCTGCTCTCAAAATTTTCAATTCTATCCTGATGTTCAAAGCCGCAGAGAAGAACTCTCATAATGAACTTTGAAGATGGTGAATTCTGACTACCATCAGCTTTCTGCTTTAAAGCTCATGTTTTATTCAAAGCACAAAGACAGTTATAACTCCTAAGTGAGAAGTCTCCAAAACTCTAAAGAGCAATGCTATCAGATTATTTATATTCCTCAAGAGACAATATATATGAATTCTTACGAAAGTGCTTGAGCTTTTAACCAGGTACTGTCTAACAACAGTCATCTTTCGGTTCTGTTCACTGAGCTAAATTTATCTTTGTAAATCTTTTTGAGGCTGGGGAGTTGGGGGGGAAGGGGGACTTCATTAATTATTTATGGACAAAGTCGGGGTGGGGCAGAATAAGAACTTCTGGCATTTTGTAAACATTGTTGAATTCTCTTTCATGTACACTTTTTCTTTTTCAATACTTTCAGGAGCCTTTTTATATAATCAAACTTCAATTTAAACCAAATTAGTCAAAACCTGGCTAAATTTAGCCAGTGGGACTGTTACCGGTATTGTTAATTCTGTGCCATATTTTGAATTGCAGCATTATGCTGAGTATAACTTTGCAAGTCCTGATACTGCCTAACTGCTTGTCATAATCTGTTGGGGCTGAATAGTAGTAAAAATTACCTTTCTTTAAATCAGTGTTTTTACTTTTGCACGCCATTATGAAATGTTAAATTACTTTTCACCAGCATCTTTACTATAATTACCAAAAACATGTATATAAATAATGAACTTGAAAAATAAAATATATAAGCATAAATAAATTAGGTGACGTATTTGAATGGCATCAGTCTCACACATCGTGGTGCCCTGCGTGTTTACAAGACTCCAGTGATATCAAAGGAAAAAAGGAATATGGGGGGAGGGGGTGCTGTTTGTATGATCTTGATCTTGAACTATTTATGAGATTATCTTGAGCTTCTCTCTAATCGGCATTGAAGTAACTGTGGTGCTTCTCAGAGACGAAAAGCTCATTCTGTCGATAGAAACACTAATCCAGAAAGAGCTCTGTCTCAGACCTCGCAGGGTCCTCCACACCCAAAGGTTTTCTTCAGGACTGGCTGAAGAGAGAGTATATAGATTTTCCTGAAGAGGCAAGATGTGAGGGAGCAACATCAATCGATACCGAGATTCTAAATGCTCGAAAATCAGGGAGGCGACTTTACAAAGCAATTATTCAAAAAGCTCCGTTTTGGAGACTGTAAAACAGTTCGCCTCAATGTATAAGCCTACAGATGCACTTTAAATGAAAGCCCTTGATAACCTATAGACTGATAGCTGGTAGTGTTTCTTTTGCAAGAATGCATTTCCAAAAGGTAAATTGTTTTATCAGCCTTTGTATGTAACTTCTGATTCCAGGATTGGATTTTTATTCAAGGACTCTTTTAAAAGTAGAAAGTAAGTTTGTAGCATGCTGTCTGAATTCTGGGGAAAGTTCCACCCCTCTCCTCTTTTGCTCTCATTTTTTCTCATGTAGGATTCCCTTGATATCCCTGTGGGAAGTCTATTAGTGGTCCTTCGCATTTGTCATAATTCAAGGTAAAACAGGGCCCGTGACCTCTGCAGTGCCCCCATTCATTTCTTTGCATGAATCTGCTTTAAAAAAGGTTTTTGTTGTTGACTTTTTTTAATGTTTTGTTCAGAATTTGTACATTCAAGTTGCACTTGTTATACCTGACATGAATGAAATAAAAATCTTAATTACAGATACTTTTTTTTTTACGTATGTATGATTTTTGAGAAAGTTTGTCAAACAGGAGGGGCGAATGAGAACAACAACAATATCAAACATGTGGGCATTAGATAGCTGTGGGGATGCATCTGTAGGATTCGCAGTTGTTTGTCAAACTATGTCCCAGATGATGTGAAGAGCATCAAAAAAAATTCAAAAAATCTTATTGTTAAGTAGGATTCACACCCATTGGGGACTTCTTTCCAGTTTAAAGCATGTATTATTTTTAAAAAGAGCCTTTTATATCTTACTGAAAACATCTACTCATTCTAAGAAGCATGTTATATGTTAGAAGCAAGGCATTGAGTGTTCCTATGAGGGTGGAACGTCCACCACAAGAAGTGGAAACCTCTCACCATTCTACCCCTGGGATACAGTCTAATAAGACTGAACAGGGGAAGTAGGGAGCCATGATGACAGGGAGGTCCCTGAAATGAGAGAAGCAGGCTTGGGGTAAGACAAGAGGGAGGGATGGGGAATGTGGAAGCTGACATGACTTTCCCATCTAAAGGCATTTTTTAAAAATCACAAACACTCTGCCAGCCACTTAGAGACCTGTCTGCAGGTTGAAAAGTGCCCCCAGGCCACCATTTTTCAAATTCTAGATTCACTGGACCCATCCTCCAAAGAAAGTAGGTCCAGGTTGGTCAAGCAATACTGAATATTCGCTAAGCAGCATGGCCATGCTGGGCACTGGAGAATGATACACCACTGAAAGAAACAATAAAGCTTAACGTGAATCTGCCCTCATGATCAGTTCACATCTATCAAGTTTGGAGCCAGACTTCTCTTCAGTTTCCCTGCAGCCCAACCCCCTCTCTCTCCACCCCAGCCTAAAGGAACAAAGAGAGGCTTTCATTCAAGGCCAAGACAGAGATTACAGACCTAGGGAAAGGACTCTAAGAACTTGGTAAATTCATTTGGGAGAAGAGGAATAAGATCATGAAACTTGAATAATCAGGGGACAAGAAAGAAATTTTCTAAGGAACTAAAGGCATGTTGTATCATGACTGGAATAGGGACTAGTTATGCAAAAGTGAAACGTACAGATTTGTTATTTACTCTGCCCGTCCTCTCTCGTGTTAGTGGGAAGTAGTCCTCGCCAAGGTGGGCGGCTGGTCTTTTCTTTTATCTCACTGACTTAAGCATTTCAGTGAACAGAGAGGAAGATAGTATTTTGCAGAATTTTTCAGAGATGTATGTTGTAAAAATGTATTTTAATAATTCATACAAACCCCTTCTTAAACTTAAAAATTTAATTTGAATGAAGTAGCCCAGGAAAAATGTCCATCGCATTGTGATGCAATATTAGCCCACTCAAATTCTTCAGCCTCTAAACCAGCTGGTTCTGTCGAAACTAAGTAACAATGAGATTGTGATGGAGACAGCAAGGGACACCTTAAAACTGTAATGTTGGATGAGTTACAACGTGGGCCGGTGGGCTGGGTGAGCACCAGGACAGGGGCTCCTGAGGGAGGTCGAGGAAGGGCCCTAACCTGGAAACCAGAAGCCGGGGCCCCAGTGGCCCTGAAAGTGAAAAGCTAGTTTCTTATTACAGAGCCAAACAAGCCTAAGGGGCAACCAGGACAGACGAGAACACCAGAAGTCAAGATGAGGGAAAACCAGAAACCGTGTGGGAAGACAGGAACCAGGCATGTCACTGTACCTCAAGGCGGGAAGCCGTGGAAGACAAACACTGTCACAGATGATCAAAACCTGTGCCGGTGAGACCTGCCAGCAGTGAGGAGACCTCAGGAATGCAGCAGCCCTGGTTCTCAGTAGTGACAAGGAAACAAACCCCCCGGGGCAGGTCAGCTGAGGGAAAGAGGAACCAGGGAGTATGTGCATCTTCTTAAAATGTGCAAGTTTAAGGTGTTTCCGAGCAATGTCAGACCAAACAGGCAGAACCCCAGGCCACAAATGTGCAGCTCCTGGGCATTAAGTCTCAAAAGCGGGCACATTAAATGCAAGGCCAAACCCTAACCCAAACGAAGGATTTAGGTAAATCTGAAGCATAGAATCTTTTAAAATCTAATGTCCTGTTGAAAGTGTTAACTTGGATTGGAAATTCTTAGACCTCAAAATAGCTCTTTAATTAAGCAGTAGTATATTACAGAACTTCACAAAGAATTTAAGTATGGAAGGGTAAAGTTAGAAGGCATTAATACTCATTCGAATCTTACGAGACAAGTTGATTTTCTAATATCTACCTCTACTAAATCAAAACAGTTTTTTATAGTTTCAGCCATCCAGGAGATCAATTCTGATCAAATATCTAGCATGCTATTAAGTGACTGAGTATTGAAATCCTACTTCCTTTTCCTTTTCTTTCATGGAAGGAAAATACGGACTATGCTCATCAAAAATCAGTGTGTCTAGGAAGTTGAGGGTTTGGGACAGTCTTCTTGGACACTGGATCCCAAATACACGGAAGGCAGCTATGAGAGAAGCCAAAGCTGTAACACAGTCATCCACCTTTGTGAGTCTCTCTTTTTCTAAATACAGAGAAAATTCGCAGACATCCCTGTTGAAAGGGTTCTTAACTTCTAACACAGGTGTGGACACTTGCACCTGAAAAAAAGACTACAATAGAGTCACCACTGCATGATGTGTGAAATAGCTGAATAATACAAGGCGCCTCAATTTAACCAAGATACTACAATAAGTAAACTTGTTGTAATTAAGTGTATTTATAAATAAACAGCAGGCCACCATCCTACTTCAAATAAATTACCATACAAAGATATGAAATGTCATACCAATGATCACTGACATACCTTCTCATTCAGAATGACAAAAAGGCTGGGATCCTCCCCAAAAACATCTGGTAGGAGTAAACACATGGCTGTCATCTTCATATCTGTCAAAGCAAACATGCTTACAATCCAAGTAAAAATAAGCTCTTACAACTGTCAGCAAAGTGTAAAAACATGTGGATTTTTTAATTGTCACCTTCTGCAGAGAACAAACTAGCCTTCCTTAGGTCAATGTTTCCTTACTAACTTTTTTGACCAACATTCCCTTCTACTAAACATTCAAGATCTGTTCTGCCCTCCAGATCACTGCCAGAAGATAAGAGTTCAGTACTCCGCTCATCAGCCAGGATGATTTCATTGTACTTTACATTGTGGTTTGTAAATTACCTTGTGTGTGAAACTAACAGGTTATTAGTTTCCTAAATATAATTTTACAGTATCGAGTGTACTTTTTAAATCTATACCTCAAGTCCTCTTATTTGAGAATTTTTCTTTTCCACATGCTGTTTCACTGAATTTTTACTTATTACCAGCGTATACCTTTCCTAATTATCCTGAATTTCACAGATAACAGAGACCAAATTACCCTATCCCCCAGGTTTACTAACGTTTCAACGTGTCTTCATCTGTGTGCTGTTTCATTTTTTCTTGCAATGCAATATTGATTGGATTGTCCACCAAAGAAAAAGAAGCCAGTATATTTTCCGAATAGGATTCCAAAATGTGCCTTGTTTTCTTATAAATATCTGTTCTTGTGAGAAGCTGGAATTCTCTGAACATCTGAAAGGAAAAGATTACAAGAAAAGCTAATGTATAGAATGTAAGGAAGTAAATTACTCTTTAGAATTATATTAAGCTTTGAATGCTAGTCTATATACTAGATATTTGATTATATTTAGTGCAGAAGTGAAGACTTAGGACAGAGGAGGAGAAAAGAATGAAAGCCTTAAGTGAATAAGAAAAGATAATGGGCATGATAGACTTCTAAGCATGTAGAATTAAAACTGGATGCAGACTCAAGTAAATGAGGGTTACAAAGTACATAATGCATATTTTGGCTGTTTGGATGACCCCCACTAATATTATGGGATCTTACATTCCTTTAGGTAAACTACATAGGTATGTTTCGGCAGTGTCGAACAGGAGGCAAAAGAAGGTGACGGTCAGATTTTAGAAAGGCAACCTTGAAAAATACCTAACCATGGTATCCTAAAGGAGAAAGAACTTTAAAGACTCTGTACGATCAGACAGAGACAAAGAGTGACAAACAATTTAAGTGTAGGTTTGACTACAAGATAAAAGCAAAACCAGTTTACCTGTATGGAAACCCCTTTACTCAAAAACACCTCTTCCTACCACTGTCTAAATTCTTCTCTTCAGAGAATTCCACCATCACTGTCCTCCTCCCGACTTTTTTTGATAGAGTGGCATTAAAAGACTGTTCATCACCCACACAAGTAGGAATTATGTAATCATCACTTTCCTAAAACTCTAAAGAACAGTTACATACTACCCACTGGGTCCCATCGTTTCTTGAATATTTTGGTGGATCATAAATTGCCCAAAGATAAGGTCCAAAAGTTAAGTTATGAGAAAACTGGAATGCATACTCTCGAAAAGGCGCAGTGGCTCTGTTATCAGGCAACTCTCAGTGGACCACTAATCTAGATTAGCACCCTAAAAAGAACCTCTCTCAGTAGGGAGATGTGAAGTGAAGCATAAGGAGGGTAAATATTGCCCACTATCTTGAGTGCACAGACTAGGAATTTTTTAGAACTTAAAAAAAAAAGTCAAGTTTATATTAAAGTTGCAGAAAGAGTAAATAGAGCTCACAAGTGCCCTTCATGCAACTTCCCCCAATGCTAACATTTCTGATCCATCTGAAAGTGAGCTGTAGACATGATGCCCTCTTAACCCTTAAATCTTCATTGTGTATTATTAGTCCTTGTACTTAGGAAGGGCAGGGACACTCTCCTGTATAACCACAGCATAACCATCAAAATAGGAAAAGCTAATTCAAGGACCCCACGCAAGCTTGCCAGTTGTTGCACTCACATGCTTTATAAGTCCAGGATCTAATCCAGGAACACATGTGAGATTTAGACATGTTTGTTTAGTCCCCTCCAGTCTGAAACAGCACCTTGGCTTTCCTTATATTCCTCAATGTTTCTGAAAAGTGGAGGCCAATAACTTTGCAGAACATCCTTCATTCTAGGTCTGTATGATGTTTTGTCATGATTTGTGTATTTTTGGCAAGAATGCTAGCACTTCTCACTCCATCGAGAAGATGGTAATTTGTCCTATCATTGAAGGTACTTTTATCACTTGGTTAAGATGTTTTCTGCCAGGTTAATTAACATATATGTTATATTTATTGATAGTTGTATTTTATAGAAAGATAACTCTAGTTGACCTAAGTATCTTGTCCCTCCTGTAACTTTCATCCATAAGATTTAGCATCCACTAATGATCCATGCCTGAATCAGATATTACTATGATAGTTGCCAAATGGTGATTTTTCAAATCCTGTCATTCTTTCTAAATTTACTGGCTTTCTATTCTGAGGCATAGCTTTCTTTTCCCCCATGTTAATTATTTATTTATTTATATCACTACAGAATAATAAATTTCCATTTTACTCAAATGACCATATATGTGGTCCTTTTATTATTTATATTAAAGCTCAGATTGTCCAGATTTGGCCAATAGGAGCTTCTTCAAGCTGACTCCTGTGTCTTTTTGACATTCTGTGAGCATGTCCTTAATTTCGGACACTACACAATATTTCAGGCTCATCTTATGTTTTTTCCTGCCCCAGCCTTAGAGTCAGTTACTTTCCCAAGAGCCCTGGGTACCTTTTAATGGAGAATGATTTTTCTAAACTAAGATTTTAGCCCTAGATGTGCACATTGCTACATTGGTGTTATTGTTCTGTTATTGAAATCATGTCTCAATAAGGTGAAAACTGGAGCATCACAAAAGATTTGTTGGAAAATTTGAGGAATCATTTAAATTTGAGTTTGATATTTTCTCTCCTCAGAACATCTTCCAGCTTGTCAGTTCCAACATCCACTGGGTCCCAGTAACAAATTGCTAGTTGATAATATTTTAGTCTCATAAAGTACATTTTTTAAGTTTTTAATTTTTCTGTTGAAAGTTTTTTGAGAGGAGGACAATGATGAGTGCCGGTGGTGGTGGATGGTCTGTGTGAACTCCTGGGACCAGCTTCTCCGAGTGGCTGCTTCTACTCCATCACACCTGCATCCCCAAGCGCGTCACCAGGTGTTTTCAAACTGGTAGTAGCAACAGCTGATGGGGAGGTTTGAAGAAGGGACAGCTGTCCTCCTATAGGGATTGTTAATTGGGTATTTTTTGAGTTTTTTGTTTTTTTTTTTTAAATGGAGATCCTGGGGATGGAACCTAGTACCTCGGGCATGCTAAGCACACACTCTACCACTTGAGCTATACCCTCCCCGCTTAACTGGATTTCTAAGTAAAGTCAAGTTTGCTTTATTTTCAGAAACACAGTAAGAGTGTTATAAATTCTAAATCCCAGCTAGTCACAGGAGGCTGAGTCAGGGAGGCACTTCCTGAAGAAGCCTCAAATGTTTAAACCTTTTGTTTAAAACAACAAGTAGAGCCAACTTTATTCAGTAAGTACAGTCATTGTCAAAGCTATACCTCAGTCTGCATTTTGGATACAAAGGGTGAAATACCTGAGGGAATGGGAGGAAATGATTTACAGATGCCAGGGTGGGGGACCTAGACAGAGCAGGAGAGAGACAGCCTTTGATCTGAAATCCCTCTGCCCTTCATTCAGGCTATAATGGACCCCACATTTACTATCAACCATGATTCTTTGAAAGGTCGCTGAAGTGTAGCTCATCTGCTTTAATCACTAAAACTTTGTAGGCTGCACTTCAATGAAAACCTCAAAGGCTGCAGCATCAGCGACCAGAGCAGCCTTACTAACTGCTATGCACTGAATGTTTGTGTCCCGCCTCCCTCCCTCAAAATTACCTAGCAATGCGATGGTATCAGGAGGTGGGGTCACTGGGAGATGATGAGGTCATGAGGACAGCACCCTCATAAATGGAATTAGTGCCCTTATACAAAAGCCCCATGAGAGCTAGCTTGCCCCCTCATCTCTGTAAGGTGACAGCTAGGAGGAAAAGGGGCTCTCACAGACACTGCCTCTGCAGGTGTCTTGATCTTGAACTTCCTGATTCTAGAACTGTGAGAAATACATTTCTGTTGTTTAAGCTACTCAGTCTATGGTATTTTTGTTATAGCATCTGGAATGGACTAAGACACCAACCATCTACTAACTCATTCAGCATTAAAAAAAAAATCAGTACTTCATCTGTATTTTACACATAGTACTCTGCGAGGTACTTTGGGAAATACTACAACGTTTAGAACATGCTCCTCACATTTTAGGAGTTTATAGACCATCTGTTTGACAAGTTTTGCTCTGAAAGTATATTTTGTACATGTGTCAATCTGGCATCCTCTTCTAAAAGCCAGAGGCTATCAGCTATTACTGTTCCTAGCAACCCAAAGATTAAGGAGAAAGAAAGTAATAAATGAGGTAGGGTTACAGAGAGACAATTAAATAAAACAATCCATGTAAAGCATTGAGAGCATGCCGGCTACTAATAATAAACACGTAGATGTTTGCTATAAATGTTATTATTAAAATAAAATACGCAGGCAAATTCTTACTTCAGTTTTTTTGGGGGGGAGAAAAGCATGTAAAACTCTTCATTTCCAGTTTGGTCGATTGCACTCACAGAATTCTTCCATGAAATGTACTCTCTGATGAGTTTTTCATTATATACTACAACTAAAATTATGCTACAATTGTAGTAGGACCCTTTAATGGCCACTTTAAATAAACTAAATGGTAAAGTGTTTAATTTACCCATTAAACGTTGTATGTTTTAAGACCACTTTATGAAATGACTTAGGATCATAAAGGAAATAGATTCTGAGTAATATTATATACTAACAGTCCTCTGATAACTACCTTGATTGTCTAAATGCATGAAAGGGAAACTGTTTCCCACTGTCAAACTACCCCAGAGTAAGTGGAGTCCCAGGCTCCACAACGTGTCCAATGAGGGCGAACTCTTCAAATCTGAAGGCAGCCAGTGTGTATCATCAGAATATGATCCCAAAGTCTTACCAAAGAGTCCTGGGGGTAGCCCCTTGGGCCTCACATATTCGACTGTGATTCACAACCACCATCTCGCTCCACTCCAAGGGGAAAGAGAAAAATCAATCTGGACACTCTAATCGGAGTATTAAAAGCAAATAAAGATACCTGATAAGGGCACTTCAGGAAAGGAAACATCTGAAGAGTGTCCTTCAGAGGTGTTCTGCTGCTGATCAGCTTTCTTCTTATTTCCAAAGTCTGGCTCATCCTTCTATCAACTTCTCTCCAGTCCTTTTCTGTTTTCACATATTCTTGTTGGAACCAGTTAATATGTTCATCTACCTCAGAATCTAAATAAACAGCTTCCTCCTGCAAAATAGTTTCAAAATATCAATATGTTCCACGTTTCAAGTGGCAGTTTAATGCTTCATGAAAACTTGAATTATGGGCTGTGACTGCACACTCAATAATGCACTCATACGGCGAGCACGAGTTCAGCCCGTATTAGTGTAGCTCCCCACTTCTCCAAGGAAACGGATGTCCTCCTTCTGACAGGCTGGCTTCCTCAGTAGCGCACACTGAGGGAACCAGTGGATGAGAAACATCTGAATCTTACAGACCAGTAGCAGCAGAGCGGACTGCTGGGTATCTGTAGATAGACTGGGGGCGGAGGGGTGGTGCTGAAAACGTAATCAAAGGGAGAAGACATGAAGCAGGGAACAGATCTTTCCTGGCCAAGGAATGCCAACAGATGAAGGGGAACTGTAGGAGTCACCTGTGGGCTTTGTGACTTCAAAGGAATCAGCATAAACCAACCAGAACATTAACTTGAGTTGGACCCAAATAAACTGGGTAACAAGCTCATGCCCTGCCTCCTGTATCGCACCAGGCTGGTCACGTGAAGAGGCTCTCTTCTCCGGCATCACAGTGACTGCAGCACCTCTGGGGTTGAATGGAACAGCAGAAAGCTCAGCTCCAGCCAGCTTTTAGTCTAAGCCGGCAGCGGGTGCAGGAAATGAGGAGGACAGTATTTCTAGGTTATATCTCAACAGAAAATTGAGACTGCTTTTGAAGAAGTAAGACACGGCATGATTTCAAAGATACATTTATAATTCCCCTTCTCCCCCAGAGATGAATAAAAACTAACCTCAACTTTTCTTAAACATAATTTTGTTCTACATCCTGCAATCTGAATAAGTTTGCAAAGGAAGTATCTAGTTATGAAAATTTAATAATTCTAAGTATATCATTAAAAGTCTATTCAAAGGAACCTAGCAGATATTCTTAGCATTTGATTATCTAAGCAGTTTTTGCATGACTTTCAATTACGTTTTATTTCTAAGCCAAAGAAAGCTAACACACAAAAGGACTTTGTGACTTTCAAAGTTATAGGGTACATATATTCCCAGTAAGTATGAGAAGAAAATGTTCTAAGAGAAGTGAATTACAGTAGCCCCCACTTCCCTGCAGAGGACACATTCTAAGACCCCTACTGGAAGCGTGAAATGCAGACAGTACTGAACTCTGTATATACTGTGGTTTTCCCTTAATATATACCTATGATCAAGTTTAATTTATAAATTAGGCACAGTTAGAGATGAACAATAATAACTAAAAAAATAGAACAGGTATAATAATATAGGGTAATAAAATTTGTGTGAATGTGGTCTCTCTCTTTCACAATATCTTATACAAACTTAATGCCTTTTCTGTCCTAACTAAGCACTTACTACTCACTGTGGCTGTGACTTTTGCAGTTTGAGGTACAACAGCAAAACTAGCACAAATTTCTTTTTCCACAATCTTATGGATGGAAGATTCATTTGTACCATAGATCCTAGCAATCTCAGCATACGATTTTTTTCCTTTCTTAATGAAAGTGAGAACTTTCAAGTTTCCACTTAAATGAAGCAGTTTATGGCTTCCCTGGCATAGCTGAAGTGCCAACACAATTACCCTTGAGCTTTGGTGTCATTATTAAGTAAAATTAGAGTTAACTGAACACAAGCACTGTGATACCGCCACAGTCATCTGATAACAGAGGTGGCTACAAGTGACTAATGGCAGGATATGCTGGACAAAGGGTTGTTTCACATCCCGGGTGGGACAGTGTGGAACAGTGAGGTATTTCATCACACTCCTCAGAATGGCATGCAATTTAAAACTTATGAATTATTTTTACAATTCTCCATTTAATATTTTCAGACCACTGGTAATTAAAACCTCTGAAAGTGTAACTATGGATAATGAAGGACTACTGTATAAATACAGTGTTAGTAACTGAACACCTGGCAGTTAGTTAACTTAACACATACTTGGAGGATTTTGGATGCAAGGACACCCTATAATCATTTATTAAACTCCTGCATTGCTGTTCCAGGTAGGGTGTAAGCTTTTTTTCTTTTAAAAGCACAAATTAACCTCTCTAAAGAAACTGTCTAGATATTCCCAGTGGATATCTGATAAGACATTTCACATCAGAATCAGGCAAAATATTAGTTTTGTTTTCTTCATGTTTCAGACTGAGAAAAGTTCTTACAACTAAGGTGATAATGGAGATAATCTACTCCTAGAATTGAAGAACTGGAAAGAATCTCTAAATAAATTATCTGAAAAAAATTAAAACTAGGTATTTGTACTTAAAGTGAAATAGTGTTTCCCCATGTTTTAAGCATTTTTATTATGACATATGGCAATACTTTCCACAGGTCTCGCCAACCTAGATATAGTACAAAGACACAGAGCGTGAAATTCCTGGGGAGGATGGCAGATCACCCAGATGCTCAAAAATGCCTCCATCACTTGAGGAAGTTTGCCCAGGAACAGGAGAATTGGTGAGGCATGGATCCAAAGTCTGCCATGCCATGCCTGGGGCCGCTGGCATTACTCAGCATGAGCAAGATGCTACCGTTCTACCTAAGAACCCCCAGACCTGAGAGCAACAGAAGCTTATCACTCATGGGAAATGTCTATCTTGGGGCCCAGATCCTCATCCTCTTCACCCAAAAAACTGGCTCCACCATCTAGAATGTCAATTATCATTGCCAAAGAACAGGGAAAGATGGGGCACTGCATGCTGGGTCTTCAGTGCCGCCATCACTTCTGCTCACCATTCATTGGTCAGAATCAGTCTCATGGCCATATCTCCCTTCCAGGAAGATGAGAAGTACAGCCCTGCTGACTGTCTGGAGGAGACAAACTGATTAAATTGGTGAGCAACAATCACATCCACCCTCACCTACCTCTGGGTTTCTTATTATGTGAGAGCACAGCTCTCCTTATGGTTTTAGTCAGTTTCAGACAGGGGTTTCTCTGAGCTACAGCCAAAACAGTAATAACTGAACACCAGAACACCCAGTTCTCAAACCAGAAAAAATTCCCTAAATGAATTCTATACCCGGCAAAACATCCTTCAATATGAAAGAGACTTAAGACATTCCTGGATAAATAAAAGAGAGACAATTGGTCACTAGCAGATCGGTCCTACTAGAAATTATAAAGATAGTCCTCCAAGCTGAAGTGAAGAAACATTAGACTGTAACTCAAATCCATGTGAGAAAATAGAACACTGATAAAGGTCACTACGTAGGTAAATATAAAAGAAAATATAAATGTATTTTCTGTTGGTGACTCTTTCTCCCTTCTTGTTTTAAAAACAGTTGCATGAAGCAATAGTTATAAATTGTGTTGATGTGCATACAGTGTATAAAATTTATCTAACAGCACAAAAGGAGAGAAGGGTGCAAAGTTTTTATATGCTATTGTAATTAAATGGGGGGATTAATCCAAACTAGATTATTATAAATCAAGATGTTAGTTGTAATGCCCTGAGCAACCACTAAGGAAATAACTAAAAATGTTTATTTACTAAAGAAATAATAAGGGAAATTAAAACCACTAGAAAACATCTACTTAAACACAAAAAAGAATGCAGTAATTAAGGGATAAAGTAACAAGAAAGATATGACATATAGAAAACAAATAGCAGACATAAATCCTACCTTATCAGTAATTGCATTAGGTAGTTGACAGACTGGATTTTTAAAATGATCCACTTTCATGCTGTCTACTAGAGATGCACTTTAGATTCAAAGACACAAGTAGATTGATGGTAGAAAGATGGGGAAAGATATACCATGTGAGCAATAACCAAAAGAGACAGTATGTCTATATAAACATCAGACAAAATCAACTTTAAGACAAAAATTGTTCTTAGAGACAAAAAAACGATATTTGAAATGGGAAGATAGAACATTCCATTAGGAAGATATAACACTAGGAAGATATAAGAGCTATAAACTTACATACACCTAACAAAAGCATCTCAAAAATCATGCAGCAAAAACCGACAGAACTGAAGAAAGAAACAACTCAATAATAATAGTTAGGGATTTTAATATGTCACTTTCAATAATGAAGAGAACCACTAAATAGATGGTAAGCAGGAAACTGAAAGACTACAGTGATGGCTATTTCTGGGGAAGGTGACATGAACTGTAGAAACTTGGAGCTGGATATAACAAATCATGCATAAAATGAAAATCTCTGAGAAGATGATATCAAAAAGAATTTTGAAGAAACTGATTGGATTACGCTACTTATTTAAAACTCTTAAAAGGAAACAAAATGTAGTTTAAATTAACTGATATAGAGAAAAATCTATGCACTTAAAAATCACATTAATTGCTTCCAAACTGAAAGGACTTCACAGCAATTAGGAAAAAAAGAAAAAGAAAAAGCTCCTGTAGAAAATTCAAAGTCCTTCCTGTACTGCTTCAAGAAAACTAAATAAATGTTCAAATATCCAATTCAGAATTGATTTACTCCATAAAGACAGAGGAGAATCTTTTCAAAGTGAATGAAAAGATCAGGCATAAATGTGAAGAGCTGTACACATGAAAGATTTGAGCCAAGTTTTTTTCAGAAGAATTTGAAAGAAGCATTGACTATTATCAAAGTCAGCTTATATCCCATGAGTGAAAAGTTCATGGTAATAAGTTGAAGGCTCTACTGGCTGAAAGAAACCTCAGTATCTTAAGGAAAGAAAATGTGTGCATTTGTCAAATAGCATTAAAAAAGAAATGAAGCATCTTAAAAGTATGTTTACATCCTGATTTTTCAAATAGGGCATTTGGTAGAGGCCCAAAGAGGATCACCAAGGAAATCCTCTGGATGAAGAGACTCCTAGGAAAGGATGTGCATCAGGCTGTGTCAGTGTGAGTGTCCAGGGTCCAGTGTCCTGTGTCAACTGGATGTCACCCCCACCCTCACCCCAGGGTCAGGAGGACAGGAGCAGGATCCCCCCATAGGCCATCTCCATCCTGTCACAGCAGGTTCCCCACAAGAGCAAGACAGAGTTTACCTGCTGC